CAATGACAATCTCGTTACCGTGAAACCGCACAATTGTCTATAGACCACAACATAAATATCGATACTGCAATGAAAAGCCCGAAAAACTAAATGCCAACAAACAGTGAAGATACACTTGTTCAAGCAGTATTAAATATAATTAAAATCCTTCTGCATACAAAATGTTGTTAGAAGTTCCCCATGCTACAGGACAGTAATGATGTAAACTGCGAGATGTCATTGGAGATTGTTGACACTATACAAACGCATAGTAGAAAAGGTCAGAAGCAAATAGTGATTAGCTTTTCCCTCTTTGCTCAGAGTTCAACGCTGGTTTCTGCCATCTCATCTCATTACAGGAAGTACCGCTACACGGCATACCACCAGTTCACCTGGTGGGTGCACAAGAGGCTGGGGCGGGGAAACCGAGTGGTGCTGCCCAGCTGCGTCGTCTGTCAGATTCGGCAAGAATTCCCGTCCACAGATGGGACATACAGGGGGTTCAAAAAATAAAAAAAGTATTGGCCACCTGAAGGACTCGTTTACGGCATGTTTTGTCCAGCCCTTCAAAGACACCTTCATCAATAAAAGACAGCAAATGTCACCAAGCTCTAGGCTCGTAAGTTTAGCAATAGGTTGCAACCTATGAACCTAAGAATGGCTTGCGAGGTCGTTAATGACTAGTAGGTACGATAACGTGAACAGTTAAGTTTTCCTGATTATAATGCGTTTTTCATTCAACAGAGCGGAACTTCACCTGTGCTTTTTCAGACTGTTCAGGCAGTGAAGAGGGAGAAGCTAAGTTTTATCATCTACCATAATATCTCAAGAGAAGACCCATCCCCAAAAGATAGCCCACCCTGATTTTCAGCATAACTTCTTATTATCCTAATGGCTTTAGTTGAACTCAATTTTGCACGCTGAAAGTTAGTCCACCCTGTATTTTCGCCTAATATGCTCTCAGTTTTACGTGGGCTGTCTCTTGGTATATTATGGTAAGTCGCTCCTATTTACTGCATAAGTGGTTTTAGTGATAAACATTTGATTTGCAAAAGTAGAAGTTAAAAACTAGCGATAGCTTATTCGCATTAACCGCACTGCACCGTGTGCATGGTGCAACACCGGCAACCAAGTCGAAGGTGTAGACAAATACATGTATGGTAATTCCAAATTCTCGTATATCTTTGTAGCAAGAACTTGAGCCTCCAGCAAAATTGGCGCATATATCCTGCATATGAGCTTCCATTCAAAGCAAAGCTGCATTTGTCCACAGAAAAGGCAGACTAACATAAAACAAAGTGTCACAGTAGCACCTGAAACTCGAGAATTCCGAGGCAGTCATTGGGTTCAAACGGTTGATTGACCAAAATGAAGTTGCAAGTGTTGCTCGCTGGAAGGACAAAACAAAGAGGTGGGAAAAGGCGGTGGTTCTTTGCCAATGAATGTAAGAAAATTTACATTTGTTATTAAACAGCTGATACGTAGTCACCTTGGAAATCACTGTATAAACCAGATTTGTAACACTTGTGGTGATCAAGTCTTCAAGCAAGGCACAAAAATGCAGCTGGCAACTGTAGTTCATATGCTTGAGTAAGGTCCAGTGTAAAAGATACCAACCCACTTTGCAAATTAGTTAGTTTTTGTATCATCGTCATAGGATACACCACGGCTTTCACCATCTGCAGGATTATGACTGCTCACCACCAGATGACCAAGCAGCAGATGAGGATGAAAATCGTAATGACCAAGCGGAGAGCGAACTCCGTCTCCAATGGTCTCATTCCCAATGAATGGGCCCGTTCCCAGGTGGCTTGGGAGACAAGCAAGGGTACTACTGAGAAGAATCGCAGAGGATATGGCGTGCACACCCGAGAGAAGAGCAAAGTAGAGCTGAGAAGGACAACTACCAGTCTGCAAATTCCGTAAAAATTCCAGTAGTCCAATTGGTCTCGGATGCCTCCTTTGAGAATGCCATGGTCTTCAAACTACCAGCCAAGCACTGTAAAGAGCCACCTCTAGAGGGCCTCCTTACAAGCAACAACACTTCCTGCGTTCCATTCTTGATCATATTCATGAGGCAAGTTGGGATTTTTTTTTTTAACCCAACCTCCTTCCTATACCATCTGCCCTGTCCTCGCTAATATCAGCAGCCTCCGATAACCCCCTTTCTTGTCTTTTGGCTCCTGAAACATTTTTACTCTACTACTGCATGTGGCGATCAACTTTTTCCTCATGCAAAGATTGAAACTTTGAGCCTTTAAACAAAATCTTCGGATGCAAGTCGGCCAAGAACTGGCTTCTGTCATGTATCGGCTGGTGGCCAAGAGATAGCGTTGCCAGGCAAATGCACTTACCAGCGCTCTTCAAAAGCACGGGCCTGGGGCACGGTACGTGTGCACGGGCATTGGGATTTGAGGCACCATTAAAAAGCAACGTTTGGACGCTCCTTGGTGTTGTGCTTGGGCTTTACCCAGGATACATTACATTTTAGCGACGAGGTCGGTCAACGTCCAAGAACTACAGCGGGATGACCACCCAAGGCAAGCTGGAAGAATTCGACCAGACAGCTTCTACTGCAAGGCGAACAGAATAACAGATCCTTAAAAGAAAAGGGCCCTACTGCTTACACGTTGTGGAGCACAGACGTACAAAGTCGTGCGAGCACTGGCTGCACCGAGAACACCCAGAAGTGTCAATTTCGGTGAACTCATGGTGATGCTGCTTTGACCCGCAGCCGTCGGAGCTCTTCGGCACAACGAAGTTCCAGCGAAGAGACCAGCAGCCTGGGAGTCAATTTCCAGCTACACGACAGCCCTAAAGAAGCTAGCTGCTGATTGTAACTTTGGGATTCTAGTGACACAGGCGGCTGCAACAACTTCCAGTACCGCAGGCATGGGTTTGGCTACAACTGGAACGACAGCTGGTTCCGTCAACTTGGGAGCAACTGGAACTTCAGTTCCGGTGAGTCAACCAGTTTTCAACCCAACCATGCTACCTCTCGACGTCAGGCTGAGATTGTTTTGTTCGTGGCATAAGAGACGAGCATCTACAACAGAGTCTGTTTGCAGGGACCAACTTAACGTTTCATAAAGCATACGACATGGCCGTGCGGACAGAAAGTGCTGCACAACATCAACGAGATTCGAAAACCCAAAAATCTTAGGTTTAAGCTGTCAAAAAAGCAATATTACTGCTGAAATTGTAAAAACGGAAAGACAAAACAAACTGTCAGAATCCCAGACGTGCTACCGATGCCAAGAACAGCATTCGGCGTTCTCGTGCAAGTTCCAAAATACACGATGTAACCTCTGCCCCAAGAAGGGGCATGTCAAAAAGGCTTGTTTCAAGAAGTTAAGGGCGCAGCACCAAGCGTGGATGACACACAACGTGGAACAGGACAATGAGACCCTTGATTCTGATGATGATCTTTCGGACAAGTCATGGAGCCTGCATGAGCTGAATGCTGCCTAAGGTCATCCTGGAGATTGAAAACCGAGAGCTGGAATTTGAGATCAATTCGACAGATGCTTGCTCAATCATCAATGAAGCCACGTATTGTCCTCTGTAGCCCACGAAGCCCCAATCACTGAACCAGGAGGGAATAATCCTTCATACCTGGTCAGGAGAAATTTTACAAGTACTTGGAAAGGCGAATGTTTGCGTCAGGCATTGATTGAAACAATACATCTTGTCGTTGGTAGTGACACGTGGAACCAGTTCCAGTCTTCAGGAAGAGGCTGGTTCAAAGAGCTGAAGATTAGGGTCTGTGGAATTCACCTCCTCGGCACCAGAAACAACATTGTGAACATTTTGAAGGTACATGAGGATGTTTCTGATGCGAAGATCACGGGGCACAAGGGTCCGCCTGTAAACTTTGATTTAAAAGGGGACGCTACTGCCAATTCCCTCCAATCACAGCCCGTGCCGTTCGCACTGCGTACCGCAGTAGAGGTTGAATTGAAAACTCTCGAGAACCAAGGTATTTTCGAACCGACAAAGCACTTAGAGTGGGCTATACCGGTGGTAGTTGTCCGAAAGAAAGGCGGGACCATTTGGCTATGTGGAGACTACCGAAGTACGGTAAACAAGGAGGCGAAAGCCGCAGTGCACCCTATGCTGACGATTCCAGAAATCCTAACCAATCTGCAAAACAGGTTGGTATTTTCTACACTGGACCTTGCTCAAGCATATCAACAACTACAGTTAACAACAGAAACAGCCGACGTGTTAACCATTAACACTGCAAAAGGCCTCTACAGGGTAAAAAGAATGCCATTTGGGATCGCCGCCAACACCAGCGATTTTCTATCGATTCATGAAAGCAGTACTACCTAAAATCCCGCGGATCGGGGTATACCTCGATGACGCTATCAGCGGTACGACCGCAGCAGAACATGACTCAACTGGATACAGTTTTGATGCGACTTGCTCAGGCTGGACTTCAACTCAAGAGGTGCAAGTTACGTTTTGCAGTGGAACAAGTTGTATACCTCGGATACATCATCGATACTGCCGGGATACACCCGACAGAGGAGAAACTGAAAGCGACCAAAGAGATGCCCGAACCAACATGCCAAACAATGCTGCAGTCGTTTCTTCGTCTTCTAGCGTTTTTCGATCGGTTTTTGGCAAACAGGGCAACAATCACGAAAGACCTCTACATATTTCTAGAGAAAGACGTCCCCGGTGAATGGCAGGAAACAAATTGGCGAGCCTTTAGACAGTTAAAGTATGTTATTGCACAGCGTGCAGTTCTCGCACACTACGATAAAAACAAAAGCTTGAGCGTGTCATGTGACGCAACCCTCTACGGCATCGAGGCAGTATTAGCTCAGCTAGATTCAGATAGAAACAAAACACCGATCGTCTTTACATCAAGAATGCTCATTAAGGTCGAAAAGGATTTCTTCTAACTGGATTGTGAGGGGCTGGCTACTATCTTTGCCATACACCGTTTTCATCACTACGTCGCAAGGCGTCACGTGAAAAGAATTACTCCCAATTGGATCGTAAAAGGCTGGCTATTATATTCGCCATGGACCGTTTTCACCGCTACGTTGCGGCGCATCACGTGACCATAACGACTGACCACCAACCACTGTTGGGCATCATAGGACAGGAGTCCCCAGTACCGACTGTGCTTTCACCAAGTAGGACATGCTGGTGTGTTAAGCTGGGAGCCTATGATTATAACCTAATCTCTAGACCAGGAAAGCGAAATTAAAACGCTGATGCTTTAGGCAGACTACCATTGCCCGAGACTGACAATGAGCAACATCCTTCAGGCAACGTACTGATGTTAGAAGCCCCGACGAAACCTCCCATGACTGAAAAGGAACTGGCCGACAACACAGCAGTGGATCCCATTCTTGCTGAGGTTTTCCGAACGGTCAAACACGGTGAAGTGAAAAAGCTGGAGCGTAGCGCAAGAAGCTGCATCAAGCAAGTGGAACCTTGGCCTACATCAGACTACCGAGTAAACCTAGAGCAGTGCTGTTGCACCAATGCCTGTTTATCTCCATGCTGATACGCACTAGAAAGAAATGGAGGTGCATCCTGGTTGCAGAGGGCAGCTGCAGCCTTGTAGGATGGCAGCGTTGAGCAGAGGTGCAGCACAACTGCCATGAGCTCCCCCACATACTCTGTAATGAGACATTCAAAGCAATTAAAAAATCTGCACCAGCCACGTACAAATATGAGCACGGGCATATACCATAGGTGCAGTCAGTCTTGCGCTTAGCAACAGTGGGTCCTTTCTTTGCTTTTGGATACTTGATGACCCACATCTTCTCTCCTTTCTTGGTCACCGCTTGGGGCCTTCCCGCATTTTCGTTGTAATGGAGGGCAGCGAGGTAGGTCCTGTACAAGATATGCATGACAAAAAAACACCTAAACAGGAAATAACCAAATTTCTTACACACCTGGCCTTCATGCTTCGGAAGCTGAAGTGGACCTGCTTCGGCGCAAACTGCAACAGAGTACTATGAAAGCACTCTGTTGCAAATGTCTGCGCCGATGTGGACAGTCGAGGAATGTCGCGAAGCAGGTGAGTGGAGAGCACGATCTCCTCCAGCTTCTGGTGCGCAGGGGACCCTACAACAAGAACGTGGGACATAGTGCAATGCAGAAAGCGTATTTCAAGCCTCACAAAAATAAAAATCTGTCCTTACCTTCTGCTAGCCACTTTTTCTCTAGCTCCTCATGCTCACACTCTGGGAAGAGAGGGTCAGCGTGGGTATGCACACCCACTACGTGTGCCACCAGAGACTTCCATTTTGGCAGGATGAGGTCCTGGTTGTCGACACTTGACCCAGCACACCAGTACAGATGGTTCACCACTGCCCTTGTCCAAGACCCGAGCTCCTCTAAATGCCGTGACTTGGCAGCTGCAGCCAGCTTTTTCTTGATGCCTGAAGTGAAATGTTGTAAACAAGGTAAACATGATGCATGCAGGGCACCTTTGGAAAGCCAACAGGCTCTTTTGAAACTCCAGTGCCAGCTGGAACCTGTCACGCATACTTCAATCTCTTTTTTACTAGCAGCAGCAACAAAGCGTAACCAAAGCTGGCAGACCTTCTTTTTCTGGAAGCTGCCACAACACCGTTCATATTTTTATGTCTAGATATACCAGGTCTTTCAGTGAAAGCTTTTAAAAATTACTGAAAATAGGTTATCTGAAAAGCAAAGAGGCAAAACAAAAACAAAGAATTTTGAAGGCTACCACCATGGTAGTAAGTAAAGTAAAAAGTAAAAAGAAGCAACCAGCTTCAAGATAGTCACCAACAAACTTTGCGCCGTAATGGGTATGGTAGGACAGGTGCGTATAGTGATATCAAATTTCGAAAATCATACCCATTACAGCGCAAAGTCTGTCGGTGAATATCTCTAAGCCAGTTGCTTCTTTTTACTTTTTGTAAATTGCTTTAGATGACCATGGTGGCAGCCTTCAAAACCCTAATTGCAACATGGCCCTAAAAATTGCTAATTAGAAATTTAAATAGCCCATTTTAGTTAGTTAGATAGCTCAATTTTATATCTTTTGCAACTCTTAACACTTCCCACGGCTGGGGAAGTTTACATTTTCCCAAAGGCTGCCTTCAGGACCACTGCCCAAGCTGGTGATAGTCTCATTGGGATAGATGGAACCTTTTTAAATCTTACCCTTCCCCACATGCCAGCAATCAAAAAGGTGGCAGATATCTGGGTGTTCTCGTCCCAGCCAAGCATTGAGCTGGGGATGCCGGTCGGTTACCAGGATGGCCACAATCAACGAGTGGGCCTCAAAAATGCTGAGGGACCTCTTGAGGCCTTCCAGCTCCATATGATAGCTGCCCCCAGTTTCATTGGACTAAAAGAAACAAACGAGGACAACATGAAGCAGCACAAACGAAACAAAATATGCCAGTTTGTACACCACAATGTCTGAACATTGAGGTGCGTGTCTTTCCATTGCTGTGTCCAAGTCACAGTAAAGGGAAATGAGTGTAACTCACATCTCTCGATTTTGTAATTCACATTTCCACACTTTGTAATGATGATAACAAATTATTAAAAAAATTACAAGCTACATGGCCGAAAAAATGCTCAGCAGATATTTACCTAGTTGCAAGTATAACATTATATGCTTATGGCAGCATAGAATCTGGAGCACCTATAGAATTTGTGTACATACCTGGACGGTTTCAACGTGAATGACCTTGTTGTCATCGGCATCAAGCATCGTGTAGGAGCCATACTTGGCCGAGTGGCCAGGTGAGTCTGCTCTCCCGTCAGCGGCGATGGTGAGGTGCCTGCCTGCAGCAGCTGCGAACAACTCGTTCTGATGCTTGTTCCAGACCTGGTTACGAAAAATACAGGATAGGCAACTGGGCTTGAAACAGAGACCGAGTTTAAATTAGGTCACATTTTCTTTACAGAATCTACTATTATGTCTTAATGAATGTGTTTTAATGGTTCGAGGACCAAATTTGGCCTACAAGACCAACACACGAGCAGAAAGAAGGAATTTCAGCCATGGGTTACTCCTTTCCAAACCAGGAACGAAACCACTCGTTTCTGTAGTAAACAGTTTCTAGGCCCACTTTATTGTGGTCACGAGGAGCAAAGAGCACAGGGAAAACATGGGGGGGGGGGTGTTTCTGTCAGTTTTTAACTTCAGAGTACCTTTTCGATTGAGGGCAGGAGAAAGGCCTTCTGGATGTTGAAGAAGGTGCCATAGGAGAAACAGACAATCCCCATGCTGGTGAGTGTTCTGAGTGTCTTCTTTACGCAGCTGCCACTGAACAGGATTGCCGCAGCCATTAGGATACTCCCCACCGGCTTCCGCTTGATGATGGGCTGGCTGCACCAGTCATTCACGTGTCCACTCCGACAAATTGAGTAGACTTGCAGGCTGCAGCCAACGACACTCTTGTCCACGTGGATCAGGGGAGCAGCACATACTTGGCACTTCCCCAGGAGAAGGTCAAGGCAAGACTCGAATACAATGAATTTCCTCTCCTTTACCAAAGATGGTGTTTCCCTCTCAAGCCTGCGACACAAAAACCAACATCATCTCAACAAACTGTCTAAGCATGATAGATGATCTCATAAATTCTTACACGACTGCATACGGACCTAACAGAGCTGTCCTCTGGTGGACAATACGTAGGGTCATCTCTTTCCGGTGGCTGCTTCCCTGATACACCCAGGTCTTCTGAATCAGAACTGCACAAAAGGGGGGTCACAAAGTGATGTCTGGGAGTTGCAGGGCCTCAGGGAACTCCTAAAACTAACACAGAAATAGGTGGAGAGGTTGTTGCCAGATGGCGTTCAGATGCTCTAGGCATTGTAGGCCCAAGACCTTTGCATACCTCTGTTCTGGATCACCACAGTTTGACGAGGAAGAGGTCTGCGGCATAATTCCAGAAAGCTCCGTCTGCACTTTCTTGTTCCTCGATGGTATACATGCTTGTGTACCTAGCAAAAAATCTAAGGCATTAGAAATGTGCTCCATTTAAATATAATGAATGGGTTTTTGACTTAAACTCTGTGTGCTAACTACACCAAGCTCTCTTTAACAAATACCAAACATCTGCACAGCTCAAACATCGAGATATATCTGACACCACCTCCTTCTCAGTTTAACTCGCTCAAGTAGAATTCGAACAGAATTAAAATGATTCTCGTGTCAGTATATTTAGTTTACATGAATGACCGTACCTGCGTTTCTGCCGAAGCCTGTTGTCTGCGTCATCACGGACCGTGTCTCGTAACGTGCCGATGCTGAAAACACAGGATGTCTAGCAGCAGTCATTGCTCTCAAGGCTGCTGTAAAGTAAACAAAAAGCAGAAATAGTCAATGATTGAGAAACAAAGGAACCTTTGTAGCAACAAAAGCGCTGTGTAGATGTCAAATGTGACAATCACTTTGCCAATATGAAGAGGCCTTTGACGGTTTTGCTCAATACAGGTGACGCAAAAGAGTATAGTCCCGCTTCGGTGTGCTTGCATACCTGTCTGGGTGCGGGCGTCGTCAGTCCATATCAGAGAGGTGGGGGAGGCCACAGGTGGACGCAGAATGGAAACCAACGCACCAAACGTACCTATGGACATATATCAATCAGCGTAAAGGTGCATGATTGAGCGACAAGAAAACTTTAGAAGCAACACAAGCACTGTGTACATGCGTCTGGTGGTTCTGCTTGAAGCAGGTGACACTACGAAGTATAGGTCCCGCTTGGAGCACCTGAGGGGGGATCGGTGGCCGAGTGGGCTAGCGCACACCAGCTCAGAGCACGTGGAGCGAAAGCTCGCGCTGCAGAACCCAAGATGCTGGGTTTTATCCCCACCCCTGCCTGTTTTGATCTGAATGAGCATCGTACCAGCGTGCGGTCGTGCATCACTACTGCGTGATGTTCGTTAAGGACCCCAGGCTAGTGGCTGTACTGCACTGGGTAAATTTCTCATCTACAGCTGGGAGACAAGTCGCCCGTTGAGGTAGACCAAGTTCTAGACTTTATAAACATACACACAACCCAATTTTTTTTTTTTCTTGAAGCACCTGCATACCTGTCGGGGTGCAGGCTCCATTCGTCAGCGTCAAAGCAGTGGGTGAGGCCGCTGGTAGAGCCAGCCTGGAACCCAACGCTCGAGGGGCGCCTATGAACAGACATGAATCAGCATAGAAGTGCATGATCGAGACACAAAAAACCTTAGAGCAACATTAGCACTGTGTGGATACGTCTGGCAGTTCCGCTTGAAGCAGGTGACACCACGCAGTATAGGTCCCATCGGAGTGCCTTCATACCTGTCGGGGTGCAGGCTCCATTCGTCCGCGTCAAAGCAGTGGGTGAGGCCGCTGGTAGAGGCAGCCTGGAACCCAACGCTCCAGGGGCGCCTATGAACAGACATGAATCAGCATAGAAGTGCATGATTGAGACACAAAAAACCTTAGAGCAACATTAGCACTGTGTAGATGCGTCTGGCAGTTCCGCTTGAAGCAGGTGACACCACGCAGTATAGGTCCCATCGGAGTGCCTTCATACCTGTCGGGGTGCAGGCTCCATTCGTCCGCGTCAAAGCAGTGGGTGAGGCCGCTGGTAGAGCCAGCCTGGAACCCAACGCTCCAGGGGCGCCTATGAACAGACATGAATCAGCATAGAAGTGCATGATCGAGACACAAAAAACCTTAGAGCAACATTAGCACTGTGTAGATGCGTCTGGCAGTTCCGCTTGAAGCAGGTGACACCACGCAGTATAGGTCCCATCGGAGTGCCTTCATACCTGTCGGGGTGCAGGCTCCATTCGTCCGCGTCAAAGCAGTGGGTGAGGCCGCTGGTAGAGGCAGCCTGGAACCCAACGCTCCAGGGGCGCCTATGAACAGACATGAATCAGCATAGAAGTGCATGATTGAGACACAAAAAACCTTAGAGCAACATTAGCACTGTGTAGATGCGTCTGGCAGTTCCGCTTGAAGCAGGTGACACCACGCAGTATAGGTCCCATCGGAGTGCCTTCATACCTGTCGGGGTGCAGGCTCCATTCGTCCGCGTCAAAGCAGTGGGTGAGGCCGCTGGTAGAGCCAGCCTGGAACCCAACGCTCCAGGGGCGCCTATGAACAGACATGAATCAGCATAGAAGTGCATGATCGAGACACAAAAAACCTTAGAGCAACATTAGCACTGTGTAGATGCGTCTGGCAGTTCCGCTTGAAGCAGGTGACACCACGCAGTATAGGTCCCATCGGAGTGCCTTCATACCTGTCGGGGTGCAGGCTCCATTCGTCCGCGTCAAAGCAGTGGGTGAGGCCGCTGGTAGAGGCAGCCTGGAACCCAACGCTCCAGGGGCGCCTATGAACAGACATGAATCAGCATAGAAGTGCATGATTGAGACACAAAAAACCTTAGAGCAACATTAGCACTGTGTAGATGCGTCTGGCAGTTCCGCTTGAAGCAGGTGACACCACGCAGTATAGGTCCCATCGGAGTGCCTTCATACCTGTCGGGGTGCAGGCTCCATTCGTCCGCGTCAAAGCAGTGGGTGAGGCCGCTGGTAGAGCCAGCCTGGAACCCAACGCTCCAGGGGCGCCTATGAACAGACATGAATCAGCATAGAAGTGCATGATCGAGACACAAAAAACCTTAGAGCAACATTAGCACTGTGTGGATGCGTCTGGCAGTTCCGCTTGAAGCAGGTGACACCACGCAGTATAGGTCCCATCGGAGTGCCTTCATACCTGTCGGGGTGCAGGCTCCATTCGTCCGCGTCAAAGCAGTGGGTGAGGCCGCTGGTAGAGGCAGCCTGGAACCCAACGCTCCAGGGGCGCCTATGAACAGACATGAATCAGCATAGAAGTGCATGATTGAGACACAAAAAACCTTAGAGCAACATTAGCACTGTGTAGATGCGTCTGGCAGTTCCGCTTGAAGCAGGTGACACCACGCAGTATAGGTCCCATCGGAGTGCCTGCATACCTGTCGGGGTGCAGGCTCCATTCGTCCACGTCAAAGCAGTGGGTGAGGCCGCTGGTAGAGGCAGCCTGGAACCCAACGCTCGAGGGGCGCCTATGAACAGACATGAATCAGCATAGAAGTGCATGATCGAGACACAAAAAACCTTAGAGCAACATTAGCACTGTGTGGATGCGTCTGGCAGTTCCGCTTGAAGCAGGTGACACCACGCAGTATAGGTCCCATCGGAGTGCCTTCATACCTGTCGGGGTGCGGGCTCCATCTGTTCGTGTCGGAGCAGTCGGCGAGGCCGCAGGTGGGCAACCCAACGCTCCAGGGGCGCCTATGAACAGACATGAATCAGCATAGAAGTGCCTGATCGAGACACAAAAAACCTTAGAGCAACATTAGCACTGTGTGGATGCGTCTGGCAGTTCCGCTTGAAGCAGGTGACACCACGCAGTATAGGTCCCATCGGAGTGCCTTCATACCTGTCGGGGTGCAGGCTCCATTCGTCCGCGTCAAAGCAGTGGGTGAGGCCGCTGGTAGAGGCAGCCTGGAACCCAACGCTCCAGGGGCGCCTATGAACAGACATGAATCAGCATAGAAGTGCATGATTGAGACACAAAAAACCTTAGAGCAACATTAGCACTGTGTAGATGCGTCTGGCAGTTCCGCTTGAAGCAGGTGACACCACGCAGTATAGGTCCCATCGGAGTGCCTGCATACCTGTCGGGGTGCAGGCTCCATTCGTCCACGTCAAAGCAGTGGGTGAGGCCGCTGGTAGAGGCAGCCTGGAACCCAACGCTCGAGGGGCGCCTATGAACAGACATGAATCAGCATAGAAGTGCATGATCGAGACACAAAAAACCTTAGAGCAACATTAGCACTGTGTGGATGCGTCTGGCAGTTCCGCTTGAAGCAGGTGACACCACGCAGTATAGGTCCCATCGGAGTGCCTTCATACCTGTCGGGGTGCGGGCTCCATCTGTTCGTGTCGGAGCAGTCGGCGAGGCCGCAGGTGGGCAACCCAACGCTCCAGGGGCGCCTATGAACAGACATGAATCAGCATAGAAGTGCCTGATCGAGACACAAAAAACCTTAGAGCAACATTAGCACTGTGTGGATGCGTCTGGCAGTTCCGCTTGAAGCAGGTGACACCACGCAGTATAGGTCCCATCGGAGTGCCTTCATACCTGTCGGGGTGCAGGCTCCATTCGTCCGCGTCAAAGCAGTGGGTGAGGCCGCTGGTAGAGGCAGCCTGGAACCCAACGCTCCAGGGGCGCCTATGAACAGACATGAATCAGCATAGAAGTGCATGATTGAGACACAAAAAACCTTAGAGCAACATTAGCACTTTGTAGATGCGTCTGGCAGTTCCGCTTGAAGCAGGTGACACCACGCAGTATAGGTCCCATCGGAGTGCCTGCATACCTGTCGGGGTGCAGGCTCCATTCGTCCGCGTCAAAGCAGTGGGTGAGGCCGCTGGTAGAGGCAGCCTGGAACCCAACGCTCGAGGGGCGCCTATGAACAGACATGAATCAGCATAGAAGTGCATGATCGAGACACAAAAAACCTTAGAGCAACATTAGCACTGTGTGGATGCGTCTGGCAGTTCCGCTTGAAGCAGGTGACACCACGCAGTATAGGTCCCATCGGAGTGCCTTCATACCTGTCGGGGTGCGGGCTCCATCTGTTCGTGTCGGAGCAGTCGGCGAGGCCGCAGGTGGGCAACCCAACGCTCCAGGGGCGCCTATGAACAGACATGAATCAGCATAGAAGTGCCTGATCGAGACACAAAAAACCTTAGAGCAACATTAGCACTGTGTGGATGCGTCTGGCAGTTCCGCTTGAAGCAGGTGACACCACGCAGTATAGGTCCCATCGGAGTGCCTTCATACCTGTCGGGGTGCAGGCTCCATTCGTCCGCGTCAAAGCAGTGGGTGAGGCCGCTGGTAGAGGCAGCCTGGAACCCAACGCTCCAGGGGCGCCTATGAACAGACATGAATCAGCATAGAAGTGCATGATCGAGACACAAAAAACCTTAGAGCAACATTAGCACTGTGTAGATGCGTCTGGCAGTTCCGCTTGAAGCAGGTGACACCACGCAGTATAGGTCCCATCGGAGTGCCTGCATACCTGTCGGGGTGCAGGCTCCATTCGTCCACGTCAAAGCAGTGGGTGAGGCCGCTGGTAGAGGCAGCCTGGAACCCAACGCTCGAGGGGCGCCTATGAACAGACATGAATCAGCATAGAAGTGCATGATCGATACACAAAAAACCTTAGAGCAACATTAGCACTGTGTGGATGCGTCTGGCAGTTCCGCTTGAAGCAGGTGACACCACGCAGTATAGGTCCCATCGGAGTGCCTTCATACCTGTCGGGGTGCGGGCTCCATCTGTTCGTGTCGGAGCAGTCGGCGAGGCCGCAGGTGGGCAACCCAACGCTCCAGGGGCGCCTATGAACAGACATGAATCAGCATAGAAGTGCCTGATCGAGACACAAAAAACCTTAGAGCAACATTAGCACTGTGTGGATGCGTCTGGCAGTTCCGCTTGAAGCAGGTGACACCACGCAGTATAGGTCCCATCGGAGTGCCTTCATACCTGCTGGGGTGCGGGCTCCATCTGTTCGTGTCGGAGCGGTCGGCGAGGCCGCAGGTGGGCAACCCAACGCTCCAGGGGTGCCTATGAACAGACATGAATCAGCATAGAAGTGCATGATCGAGACACAAAAAACCTTAGAGCAACATTAGCACTGTGTGGATGCGTCTGGCAGTTCCGCTTGAAGCAGGTGACACCACGCAGTATAGGTCCCATCGGAGTGCCTTCATACCTGTCGGGGTGCGGGCTCCATCTGTTCGTGTCGGAGCGGTCGGCGAGGCCGCAGGTGGGCAACCCAACGCTCCAGGGGCGCCTATGAACAGACATGAATCAGCATAGAAGTGCATGATCGAGACACAAAAAGCCTTAGAGCAACATTAGCACTGTGTGGATGCGCTGGCAGTTCCGCTTGAAGCAGGTGACACCACGCAGTATAGGTCCCATTGGAGTGCCTGCATACCTGTAAAGGTGCTGGCACTGTCTGTCCGCGTTATTGCAGTGGGGGAGGCCGCAGGTGCAACCAGCCGACATGCCAACACACTTGGAGTCACTGGAGAGATGCAAGAGAGAAGACGGAAGAATGTTAAGGGGGTGTTATTGCTTTTGGCCCAGGAGTATGGGCCCACTGGTGCAGCACTCACAGCCCACACATTGTTACGTTAAAAGACATTCAAGTTACGTCAATAACCTTACCTGTTCTAACGGCTGTTTCTTCTAGCTCGTTTGTAGGCTCCCAACATGTGTCTGCACCTCCGACCAGGAAGTTGGTGGAATCACGCAGAGGTGCCTGATGCTCAGGGGAAAATAGCATATGATTTACTGGCCATTAAGAAAAATAAAGTGCATGGAAATTTAGAGAGGTGGATGGTTGTCGTTGCAGATACGCTCTACACTGTAGGTAGGAAATCCAGCCAGTGCAGTACTACCGCTACCCCGGGGTTTTGAAGGGACGTCACATACTACTGATATACTACCGCATGCCAGCACAATGTTTATCCAAGTTAAGACTGGTAAGGTAGGGGTCGAACCCTAGATCCTTGAATTGCTGCAGTGCGTGCGTTCGATCCGGCGCTCTAACCCACCTTGCCAAAGCTCTTCGATGATGAGCGGAACGGCTTGAAAAAGAAAGCACGATCGGCCACGGCTGAACCGCATGAAAGCGATTTGGCGAGCGATGAGCTAGGCTATCGCTGGTCGCTGTCGCCTGTCGCAGTGTTCGGTTCTAAATTCCCTGAACACTTTGGTCATCGCCTGGAGGTCGCTGCGTGCGATTTGCCTCGGCGAGTGACAAACTGAGCAACAGGTCTCCTGGAAAATCGCTCACATGCAGGATGAAACAGACAAGCATAAACCGCATGAAAGCGACTTGGCAAGTGACGAGACAAGCAACGGCGACCCGCTTCGCTGTTGCTCGGTCGGTCGCGCGAGGAGGCAAACCGCATGAAAGCGACGGGGGCAAGTGGCCAGGACGGTGAGCGACGTTTTCTAGAAGAGTAAAGCTATACGCACTATGTCGTGCACCTCGATCGGAAATGGCTATAAACACTACGCAGAGAGCTGATGCCATCATGTCATTTGGGTCACCCTTTTCGGACGGCGTGTGTTTAACCGAACCTTACCCCCCTTGCCTGCGTTCAAGCCGCTTCGCGGCGACACTGTGCGGCTGCTAATTGCAAAACTTAACCTGTACACGCCGCTTCGCGGCGTCCAGCCGGCAACCCAAGCCCCGCTGTCCCCTCCTGCACCTCCGGAAAGCGAGTCCCATACCATTCAGTTCTGCAAAATTTCGTAAATATCAATCCTTATCTTTTTTTTTTTTTTTTTTTTCAGTGTTATTTGTAGTAAAGAAATGTCTTAAACATCGTAAATGCCCTACAAAAAAAAAATAGTGATAAAAAAAAAAAAAAAACTAAGGAAACGTCGCCCTCATTGGGGATCGAACCGCGGACCGCTGCGTATAAAGCAGACACCTTACTATCATGCTACGCCACCTCTTTGGAAACTCGCCGCTGATACGAGCTTCGCGTAGTGCGTAGGGCCATTTCCAGTCAAGGTGCACGACGTAGTGCGTATAGCTTTACTCTTTCCAGTAATCTAAGAACCGAGCGATGCGACTGGCGACAGTGAGAAATCTCCGTCGCTCGTCGCAGACTCTCGACTCCGTCGCTCGTCGCAGACTCTCGACGCCGTCGCTCGTCTCGTCACTCGCTAAATCGCTTACATGCGGTTCGGCTTTCATTGCAGAACTCGGAAATACTCGACAGACAACATGCTCCCTTACCACTCTGCGTCGCTTGTCAAGGGGTTCGCTGCGCTCGCCAGATCTCCGCTTCTTTGAAAATAAACGGGGCAAAACTCCTGGTTTGAGTTGTACGTTCCTCACCGGGAAGCCCAAGGACTCCATCACCCTGGGGCTTCGCACGTAGTCCTCATCACGAAAGTGATAGGAACACAAGCGATCACTCGTAGTTGGAAGCCACGCCGGGGAGGACGGTCGTGCGAGCCGGATCCAAAGCGCACGAAGTTGTTCATCCTTTGGGAACTGGTGAATAGGTTTTCCGCACCGAATCAGGAGGTTGCCGCAGTCCTCTACCGCACAGTGCCGCACCATCTCGGCATTAGAACGCGACAGGATGATCTAAGCGTTCTAGAGACCGAGGTACGCAAGCGATCGGGCCACCACAACTCAATGCAACGAGTCCACCGTCGCCATCGTCGGGAACATGGCGAAGGGGTGAAGGCAGAGCAGGCAGCGAAGGTGGCGAAGGCTTGATAATTGCGTTCAGAACTAGAGAAGAGGCGTAGTGAGCCGTACTTCCGCAGAGCGGCGCTGCTCCGTTCTTCCAGGAGACAACCCGTGAGACGACCTAGGTCACTTCCCGGCAATGTACCTAGACGGACATTCCAAACGAGGCGTTCGCGACAAACACCAGGTGCTGTTTGGGAATCGTTTAATTCGTTCTAAAATTCGTTTTCGTGACTTTTTTAACAAGATATTGGTGTGTTCGATGTGATACTGCTCCTTTGAACACATATAGACCATAAAATAGGCGCCAAAATTTCGTTGTAGTATCCCTTTAAAGCCGAAATTTTCAAGAAGATCCGCGCAGCCGTTATTATCTGAGAATTTTTTTAATTTGGTGAAAAACCTCATGTATTCTCTATGGGGCTCTGAGGTGCGCCCCCTCTTAAGCCCGCGGGCATTTGGGGAGACTATCACCAAAAACTGTCCTCCGCGGAAAGCCCTCGCTCCCTCAGCCGGACAAAAAAAACAGAGAAACGTACGGACACAAACGTCCCCATCCTCCTAGTTGGCGAGACCAACTTGGCCAAGCAGAAGGGTCACCAAAATCTGTTTCCTTTTTATTTGACTGATTTTCCTCGGGCTCCAGACGGTTTCTGCCACTGTTTTTGTTGCAGGACTTGGGACTCTCGTGAGTTGTAAGACGATTTGGATGTCGCGTTTACAATATTTTTGCATATAAATTTGAGAAGTAACTCTAACGACGTTACTCTCTACGGTTACTTTCGAAAAATAGTAACCCTGTTACAGTTACAAGTTATGTTCACTAAGCAGTAGCCAGTTACAAGTTACAAGTTACTGAAAAAAAAAACTAGTTACCGGTAACGCGTTTCTAGTTTCTGCCCAAGACTGGGGCAAAGTAGGGTCACTAAATAAGCTACGCTCTATTTAGTGACTCTAGGGCAAAGTAAGGCCTTAGGGCAAAGGCCCACAGTTTTGAATTTCCCGCCAATTGGACGTTGCCAACGCAAATGGCCACACGCAGCCGCCGAAGACGCCACCGCCGCCGATCAAAACACGCTGCACCCAGAGCACTACAGAGTACCGCAATCTAGAACGCCGTCTCTCGGCGACTAGCGAGCGGCGAACGCCCGAGGGTTCCAACTCCGGCCACGAATGCATGGGGAACGGGAGTAAATCGCTGCTTCCTGATTATTTTGGCGATCTATGGAACGAAGATAGTTTTTGACATAATAAGGGGCTAGTTTACAATAATTTGCGCTAAGTTGTGTGCCATGAAATAACTTAATTTTTTCTAAAAAAATACCTGAGCAGCATCACGCAGCAGACGACGCGGCGACGTCGAACCGTTCACGTGACCCGGTCCGGCCAATCCATAAAGTCCATCTCCGCTGCGTAATAGCGAGTTCGTTTCACACGCACTGGCACCGTTCGAGTTCTCTCCCAGAATGCATCGCACTCACAGAGTGTTGCACGGAAAACTGGACTCAAACGAACACGCCAAATGCACCGAGTGCAGAAGACTGATGCTGCCGCCATCTATGTTGTAGAAAAGGTACCAACTTCAAACCGAAACTAGCGCCTTTCTGTTCCGAGTGATGCGTGGGAACGTGAGAATGCAGTCGCTACCAACGTTTATCTACAAACATTGGCAACTGCAACCTGTAGTTTATAGTTGCGATGTCTTCAAGCAGCTCGGCTGCCGTAGAGATAGTTACAGACGGCGTAAATTTACGCAACCAGCTGTCTACAAAGCAGCTGGTTGCGATCTTTCAATCCTTATAACCGTTTACACTGAAGAAAACTGATGATGCTCTCCGAGCAGAAGCTTGATCCGTTTGAGCATGGTCTTATGCGTGAACCACTGAAGGGTACGGCTTAAAACTAGCCTGTTGGAATATCCAGCAAAACTGGGACTTTCGATTTGGATCGTTATAGGTGGATTAGATATTGGCCTTGGTGAGGGCGTCGAGAATGAGAGCTTTTTCGAACAAAATACGACGGGGCAAGTTAGCTGCGTAGGTAAATGTTAAACATGATGATGTTGCCCAATCCTCGGGTAAAGTCACCATCTTTAGCTTTCTCTGATGCTTATTGGGCAGTCAGAGGTTTCTGCTGGAGGAGTTTTATCGACAAATGTTAAGTTTTTGACCCGCACACGGATGGTGATAGACATCTCGGGGGCCGCTGTTGCGTTTGTTCTGAGCATTTCCTTACACTCTGGTATATTTCAGCGTTTGTACGGCAAGAGAGCGATTTAAAACCTGCAAATAAATCACGGGTTGTCAATTGCTTCCTTCGGGAAATAGCAGACGCTCACAATTCAAGCTCGCGTTTGATTTCGTGGCCCGTGGGACGCGATTTCTATCAGAAAATCTACTTTTTTTCCGTTCGGTTCCGCGACACATCGTAGCAGACGAACCCTCGTCGAAGATTAAGTAGGCAGGCGAGCTGGTTGATGTTACACATTTTTGAAAACCGGAGACGACGGACGAAGAAGGGGACAACACACAAAACGTCTCAAACGCAGCTACTAAATTTTATTTGAACAGTCGTTTATATAGCATCTCTCCCACACGTCTTCCGGAACTTCCCACGTCACAGCAACTTTTAGCCAAGGTACATCTCGTCTTGACCCCTTTTTTTTTTTTCCTCTCTCTCTTATCATTTCACTTAGTTTGTACAAAGCATTGCAATACAAGCACCATCATCACACCCGCTAAAGTCGGACCCAAGGAACCACACCTTGGAACCACACCAATGAAGGGAGTTCGGAGATTTGAATTGTTATCAGACTAGACGAAGCGACCCAAAAAGTTTTGTGTTGTTTCAATTTTTTTTTTTTTTTTTTTTTTTTTGCCAGTTAGGTTACGTGGGGTGTGAAGGTGTGGTTCCTTGGGTCCGACTTTAGCGGGTGTGATGATGGTGCTTGTATTGCAATGCTTTGTACAAACTAAGTGAAATAATAAGAGAGAGAGAGAGAAAAAAAAAAAAAGGTCAAGACGAGATGTACCCTGGCTAAAAGTTGCTGTGACGTGGGAAGTTCCAGAAGACGTGTGGGAGAGATGCTATATAAACGACTGTTCAAATAAAATTTAGTAGCTGCGTTTGAGACGTTTTGTGTGTTGTCCCCAACGAGGTAGAGGGCATTAGAGTGATAAACTAGTATACCGTTCATCAGGCAAAAGTGACCCCCGATTGGCCGCCGCCATGTTGTACAATTTTGACCACTAGACACGTGACCAGGCCAAACCTATGACGTAACCACACCAAATCTCTGGCGTCAACGACAAGATGGCAGCGCCCAGTGCGTGTCGGAAGCGTTGTGGGAGTGTGTGGATTTCGTGAGCGGAATTCGGTTTTTGAGGGTTTTGTGTGCTCTCCCGCGTAGGAATAACGTGAAGTACGAGGGAATGAGGCTTTTCTTTTTTATTTAATTCAGAGTAAGCCAGATTCGGTCCCGTGCTTCTCGTACGGGCTCGGATCACTACCTCGGACATCGCTCGGTCGTTCGAGTTTAATTAAAATATCCGCAATCGTTAACCACGGGAGCTCCTCCATAATCGCTGAGTCGAAGGATACGTCGAACCCATCCGGAACGCGGAGTCTAAAGGTATGTAGGACGTAACCACAACGCGGAGTTCTAACGGTACGGCGGACGTGCCCGGGCAATTTTCTTAGCTCGACCGTCAAGATTCGCATTTGAAGCAGCGAGAGAAGTGTTGAAATCTCCGAACTGCTCGGTGCTGAGCTAACTACGGACCACTTCACTATGTGATCCGTAGTGACGTGAAAAAGACCGACGGCGGTCACTCCGGGCGGACGGCGGCTCCCGGCCGCCTGCCGGTTGCCTTCTGTGAAGGGGCGCCACAGCCGTGTAAGCAGTACTGTACCAGCTTCTCTTATAGTTATGTTGTTCTCGAGCAGCTTCCCGATCACTAAACCCCGCAAACGCGTGCCGAAATTTCAAAAGGTGTCTGCCAACCTGGAAAGCCTTGAACTCCCAGGGAATTTCGGATCATCTGGGAAAGTCAGGGAATCATTCAAAAAGTGGGCTAAATAAGGGAAGACGACTAGTGAAAGCGGCATGGCGGTTGCTCGTCGGCACGGCCATGCTGAATGACATTGCCGAAATGTCATCCTTCGACTCAGAAACTCAAGGAATTTGATCAAAATAGTCAGGGAAAAACTTGAAAAAGTCGGGGAATTTGAAATCAGTAGTTTGTTAGACACAATGTTTGATTTTCTTGGCACTCCACGCGTTTTTACACACGACAGGCACACGCCCGTGTATCACACGGCAGCCAGGCCAAGCGGCTGCCAGCCACTTATGCAAGGTCGATAAGACGCAAGCGCGGAACGCTTTCAGACTGCTGTAAATACACCAGCGGGAGCGTCCGGCCGCAGCCCGACTGCCCACGCTAGGACACCCGACACAGACTCCGCGTCCTGGGTACGTCCGACGTATCTTTAGATTTTGCATCCTAGGTACGTCAGACCTATCTTTAGACACAGCGCCTGATAATAGTAGTGAATAGGGTCACGTTCAGTGCGCAAGTCACTTTATTACACTCGGAGAGCGGAATTCCATTCCCGTTCCGCAGGTAGTTCCCGAGCTAGGCATGCACTTGAAGACTATGTTTCACTCTTCCATAAAGCAAGCTTTGCGGGACGCCTCCGCCCTTGTGCACCCATTCGCAGGTCGTGTCGCCTTTCCTCACGTAACTCCCGCAGGTTCAGTGAGTTGCCGAGCCACTGCAGCCCTGGCGTCGCTCGGTACATACAAGAGGCGGCTCACGTCGGTCGTCCAGCAGCGTACTGGAGGGACGCAAAGCTAGCAGCCTCCTTGGTGCACGCAAGACGAGGCTGAGCAGAGCTCCAAGCTCTTCTGACGCACATGTGCACTCCAATGAGACCGGTGTCGCACCCCGATTCCTAGAGACGTGGTCGCACTGGCAGTCT